AAGAATAAGAGAAACAATAGGACAGGGACGGTAGGCACGTTGGTGCGCTTATGCACGCCCCCTACAGACCTCTTAGGAAAGGGGTGAGGTCAATAGTAGACAGTCTAAGGTTAAAGTTTTTGGGGTTTGGGGAAGAAACTACAGAGTCAGATAGAGTATTCCAGACATTGACCACTCTATTGCTGAAGTCGTATTTCCTGCAATCAAGTTTGGTGCGGTTTACTTTGAGTTTGTATCTATTGTGTGCTCTTGTGTTGTTATGGTTGAAGCTGAAGTATTCACTGACAGGTAGGACATTGCAATGTATGATTTATCTTACATGGCACCTTATTTCTGTTGTTCCTTTACTCATTTTATTTGTTCAGACTGTACAACAAGAAAGAATCTTGTAATAGCAGAAGAGAAGACATCACCGCCTTTAACTGCTTCTAGTGAAACGTCAGTTCGGATACCTCAAGGTAAAATATGAAATGTATTAAATTATTTATTTAATAGTAATTGTATTAAAAATTACAGCTGCAACAATGAAAAACCAATATAAACTAAAACAAAGTGCAGGAGAAAAAAAGAAAATAGACTGGATAGAAAGGAAGGAAAAATAATATAGTAAAAAAAAGGAAATATAAAGAAATTATTTATGCTTTCCCCACAAGTATAAACAATTATCACCTTTTCTTAAAATACAACAAATGTTCTCTTCTTCCATAGCTTGGCTCTTATCTACAACTAGTTCCTTAAAAACGTCATTTCAGTTCAGATAAACTCACTATTGAGAAGACTCATAGTACTGTTTCCACTTGAGCTGATTTTGGATTATAAAGAACATTCTGGAATGGCTTCCACAATATTCCTACATCATCTCTTTCAAGAACTTAAAACAGATATTAAAAATAATACGATAGAAGATTTTTTAAAAATCTAGTGTATTTCATTGGTGATCTACAGGGGTTAAGTACTAGTTTTCTCCCCCTCCCCCCATATTCCCTCATCAAAAAAACTGCAGATGTGAACAAAATATATGATGACTCCAGTTCCCAATGTATATGCAAAGGTGATAATATGAATTAGAAAGTTATGGAAATAATGGAATCCACCTTTTATGCCTCCGGGATAGTTTTATGTCTCTGGAATGTAGCCAGGGTTTCGAAAAACAGAGTTTGTGAATAGGGTCACTTCAGCGAGTGAAGCTGTTTCTGATTTAACATGTTTTCTTTAGGGAATGTGGAGAAAGCAGTGACAGACTTGATAACAGATGTTGATGGCAAGCCAGAAGAGTGTCCATATGAAGTACTGTACAATGCAACCTCCTGTCATTCTTTGGACAGCCTTGCCAGTGGAAGATCCTCAGACAGAGATTCAGTGAACAGGGAAGCCGAGATGACTGGTATTAAAGTGACAGCAGTGAGACCTGTATGTAGCCTGATGTGTGTTATCTTTTTCTTTTTATGGAAAATAGGTTGGGATATAACAGCAGGTCTCCAAATAGGTGTACAGTTTGAAGTGATAGTAAATAATTGTTAAGGACTTTGGTTACTCACTATCTGGAGGCCATTTGCCCTGTTACAAAATTCTCGCAGGAATTATTCCAAGTTCACAATGTGATGGCTATTTGAATTAGGATGAATTTCTACCACTATATATTTTGCTAGGGAATGTAGCTCAGTTTAACCATTCAGGAGCAAGGGGGGGGGGGAAAACTTGTCTAGAATGTGACTTTCCTCTGAACATTTTTTTATCCAGTTTTCTTCCGATTAAAAATCACTCTACCGTAATAATCTTGAATACTAGGTTTGTTTGCCCTGTTTTACTATATTAATTGGCCAGCAAATCAGTTTGTCATGGAATTTATGGATTTAATCCAGCAGGGGGAGCTTGGAGGCTTTGTAGGCTAATTAAAATAGCTTAAGTTAGTTTTTTCTGAAAGCAGTCAGCTTTATTTAAATCCACTAGACTTGGTAAGAACAATATTGGATTTGAGCACACTATGGAGTATTTATTGCACATTGAAATAAGGATGGTTGCAGTTTATTATAAATATTCAAAGTTAAACATGACTTTGTACATGCAGCCCACAATATATGCAGATTTATTTTGAAGTTATCTGTGGTTGGCATTTACTAGATCAGAGATAGGAGAGCCAGTTAAGGCACTGGAGCAGGAGTGAGGAGATTACTTTTCCCTTAAGGACAGAAGCCAATTGGGTGACCTTGGCCTGCTCACCTCCTCTCAACCGAAATCAGTGCCAGGCTGTCTGAAAATCATTTGGTATGCTTCACACTTAGGACTTGGTGAGTACAGTGCAAAAACTCAGCAACTATGTGAGAAAAATGCTAAAAAGACAACAGCTAGATCAGTGATAGATAAAAACTGATTTTTCAAAGACAGTACAGGCATTCCTCATTTTATTGTGCTTTGATTTATTGCATTTCATAGATACATTGGGAAACCAAAACATTGGTGTGACTTGCTTTATTTCAATAATTGCTTTATTGAAATTGTTCTAGATCTGAGCCCTCAATATATCTGAGGCATGCCTATATTTTGTATTTTTAGGAATATTTTAATGTTAACAAATTGTGTGTAAGTGTAAAGTTGATCACCCTATATTTTATATTTTGTGTTTACATCATTTAATTTAAATTATTTAATTCTAACAGGAAGTCATATTTTATTGGGAATGTAACATTGGATATGTCCAATACTGTTATATCTATTTATAAGTGAAATATGAAGAAAATTTATTGAATGTGAGAAGAAATACTTAATGGGAGATGTTTACTATTTATCTCTCCATAGCAGCGTTGAAAATGTGAATCCAGAATGAGAGATTTGTTAAATAAATTCTGGCTTCAGTATTCCATTATAAAAATCCTTCATTTGGTCAGTGTAGGCTATTATTATAGAGATTTGTTTCTTTGGCTAGTACCACTTGGTTTCCAGATTGAAGTCTGATATTCAAGTCTGGCTTCTATGTATGTATGTATTATGTATGTATGTATGCATGAATGTATATGTATATATATGCCTTTGTTTTAGAAGTACACTTGAAAATTGAAACAGTTAATGAAACAGATTTAAAGATAAATATGTTTTTATGTATGCCATATGTGAACATATAAGCAGCTTTTAAAGTGTCTTCTGAGATCAGTAACCCAATATTAACAATACTGATTGATTAACTGATTAATTGATTATGTACCATCAAGTCAGTGTCAAATCTTTGCAACCACATAGATTTTTCTATGTGACAAACTAACTTGGTCTTTCAATGGTGGACCCTTCTTCGCTGTAACTTGCTCCTAGTCATCTTTTTCTTGTCTTTCCTTGTACCTTTCCCAGCATTAAAACTTTTTTTAGAGAGCCCAGTCTTCACATAAAGTATCCAAAGTAGCATAATATGAGCCTGACCATTGTCCCTCAAGTGAGAACTTGGGGTTGATTTGTTTGAGTTTTTTGAATGTTGATGGTAATCTCAGGAGTCTACTCAACATCAAAATTCAAATGCATTGATTTTCTTCCTATCCTGCTTCTTCAATGTCCAACTTTTTTCTTCTTCTGTAGAGTATTACATGAAATACCATTGCTTGTATGATTCTGAATTTTGTAGGTACAGATATATTATGGCATCAGAATATTTTTTCTAAAGCTTTTGTGGTTGCTTTATCTAGCACTGCCTACCAAGTCTGTGAAATATTTATTGAATGAAAATTATGCCAATTTTGTTATTAGAGAAGTTGCATATCAAATAGTTAGGACATCCACAGAGTCTAAGGGAAGCAATGTACGCAATGCAAACTGTCCACTTTTGTATTTTATTGTGACATTGCATGTAAGAAGGTGAGGCACAGTTTGTATCCTGAGGCCACATCACGTGTTTCATCATTTTGATGAAATTGCTTATTTGCTTTGCTGCTGTAAATATGTTAAGGTTGCATCAAAAATAAATTTGAAACGAGGCATTGATGATTATTTTTTCAAAATTGTAGAGAGAGCGTCCACCACCTCCTGCAAAACCACCCCCTGATGAAGAAGAGGAACATGAAGATAAAAAACATGATACATCCTCAGTGGTAAACATATGTCCTCCTTGATGTTAATGATATGGAGGGAATGTCAACACATTAATATATTTAGAGGGTAATGTGACATTTATAAAAAAAATATTTATTAATAGTTTTAACTGCCCTATCAGCAGGATTTTTTCAGGATTTTTTGCCATGGTCTGGTTTCCATCTGGCAGTCCTTTAGAGTATTTTCAATCGATATGTATGGATACTCTGTACCAGTGGTGGGATTCAAATATTGTTGCTGCCAGTTTGGTGGGTGTGGCACACCAAACGCACACTTTGCGCAGGCGCAGAGGCGTTTGCGCAGGCGCAAAGGCATTCTACCTCACCTCCTGCAAGCCTGCACGATCTCCCGATCGTTTCAGCAGCTGCCGCGCGTCACTATTCTATGCTGCACAAAGCAGCTGCGCTTCAAATTCAGTGGATAAAGGTGAGTATGGGAGCCCGGCTGGGCGGGCGGGCCCAACAGCAGAGCCATTAGAGCAGCAGAGAGAACTGGTTCGGTCTCCGCTGCTCATCGCTCCTACCAGCTCTCCAAAACCAGGCAGAAGCGGTCGAATACCCCCACTGCTCTGTACATATCTAGTATTACTCTGTAAAGTGGAGAATTTTCAGTTGATAGGTAAATATGTGTTATTTAAATTGTTCTTCATTTTTTATTTGCTAGAAAAATCTCCTTTTGAGAAAAAGTGCTTTTTTCACAATGAAACAAATTGTTTAATTAATTAATAATAAGAAATAGAATTATTATTAACTTATGCCTGTGTCTGATTAGGGTTTGGTCACCAAGAGAAAAAGTAGAGAGAGCACAGCTGATGAAGAAGAACATCCTTATGAACTCTTGCTAACAGCAGAAACAAAGAAACATGTTACAGTAGATAAAAAAACAAAAGGTAAAGACTGTTATTGCAAATTGTACATAACTAGCTATCCCCAAAACTAATTTTGGCCAGAAGGTGAGAAACTGAAACAGTTCCAGCTTTTCTTTTAAGTTAGAGGGATTGACTTGTTTTGTGTGCCCACCTAGCAATTTCTTTTCATAAGACTTTGATTAAAATATTTTTGCTTTGGTAGCTTTCTGATAACAGAAAATGACTCAAACTTTTGTTGTATGTTTATTGTAGAAAACCAAGCAGTCTATGGTTAATGTATCCATGGTATTTTGCAAGACACTTCAACTATTTTGGAAATGCCTCCTTGCTCTCCCAAATTGTGTGTTCCTGCATATACACTTTGCTCTCTTCATTTAGCAGAGTTTCTAGCAAATTCATTCAAATGTGTCACTTACTGACCTAGTTAAAGTGTCCATTGTCCTCTCATATTACTGAATTCTCACATCTGTAAGAGCCAGCTAATGTGTTTTGTTTGTAAAACGATTTTAGTTCTTTGCAAATTGTATTTTAAAGGCTGATTTGACGATCCTTCATATGTTCATTTTCCAAGCATGAATTCATACTGTAATAGAAAAAGGTTTGATTGTTTCTATTCTTCCTATACATACTAATGGTTTCTCAATATTCTGATAAAGGTAGAATTTATAATGAGAGCTATTGCTGTTGAAAAGGTAGCACATTAGATTTTGTGCATTTTGACTTGAAATTAGTCCCATTGTATTGTCAGGTACAGATATTAGGCATAACATTCTTTTTAAAAAAAATTCGTATGAAAATTATTAAGTCATACCAATTTTCTCTATTGTAATAGTTGATTTCAGTGGATTTTGTACAATATTTCTTAAGTAGCTTTAGAGAGAAATGCCTACTTAGTTTAATATTTTCTCCAGGAGAAACTCAGTAGTTGTATAGCTTTTCTAACTTCTTCAGTTCATAAGTATATGACTTCAATAAGCAATTGCAATACTAAATAATGAGAATTAAATGAATCTCTTAAATAGAACATTTATGATTTGCTTCATAAAAATAGCATGACTTCGGAATCATACATCCTCATTTATTAAAAAGAGCATTATGTGAACAGTAGGAGAAAATAATCAAATTTGGAGGATTCCCATCTAATTTTAAATCATACTTCAATATTGTAAAAATGAGTTACAGCAAGGCTTCAGTTCTCATGATTTCTCATTCTCTCCCATAATTACAATATTTTATTATCTGGAGCTTAGTTCTAAACTATAGCTAAAATTTACTGTTTTGAGATGTTCTTTTGACAAATGAAAGGTCTTTTTCCAATCTCTATGCATCGCACATACCAATTATGCACATTTTTACAATCATCAGTGGAAACTTTTTGAACTTAAGTAGTTTTTTTTTAACAGGAAGTGCTCTCTCCAGTATGCATGTTCCTAAGTATGATTTTTCACCTATTCTCGCAGTTTCTTTTACACTACACAGAAAAAGCAACAACATCCTTCTCCACATTCGTTTGTTTAGTTGAAGACAAAGTCCTGGGTTTCTTTTTTTTTCTGCATGTGTCTTCTTCATCTGCACTTCTCGTTTAAAGAGAAATTCTATTCCGAAAAAGTTGGGTGAAAAAGGTAATTTAGAAATTAGCTTACACTTCCCCAAATAGATTGTACACTGCACAAGTTCCATTTTGCAAGCACTCAAATTGCCCAAAACATATTATTTCTGTCTAACATGCTTTGAAGAGAGTCATATTATCGAGAACTGCCTTTGTTTCCAAAAATTCATCAAACCGACTACTGGTTTTTCCTACCTGCATTTACCATTGCATCTTCAGTTACTGCTAAATCAGTACTGCCAGTTTTTAAGAACGTTTCCCAGCATGTTGTTCTTAGCAACTGTTCTTAAAACCCTCTGATCTCAGGTCCTCAAAAAATACTAGTACTAATTGTTCTTGACCTAGCAAATGTGGTAACCTCAGAAACATCAGCAGTTTTGTCGTCTGAGAATGGTCTTCAGACTCCAGTACTTCCAGCGCTTCTTTATCGTCGTCCCTATAAATAAAAATTCACATCATGCACTGCTTCTTTGACATTTTCTAGGAACTTAGATTTTTTTTTCATTGGAGTCCTACTCCATGCAACATAATAGTATCTAATATAATTTATTAAATTTTGAGGCCACACAACTCCAAAAAAATATCTCCGTGGCTCACAATGTTTAAAATACATAACTTCAGAAACATGACTACCCAAAACTAATCGTGGCTTCTCCTATTTCCTTAGTTTTTCCTGCCATAGTGCTGACTTCTAAAAAGTTATTGCTATTGATGCCTTGCAGCAGAAGTGCTTGATTCTGAAGGCACCATTTCATTAGTATATGCATTGCAGCAGTATATAACATCCATCAGATCTGTTACTTCCTGTGCATTTGGAGTGTTATGAACAGTTGTATCATTGACATTTGTTCCCATTCTCGAGCTTTCACTGAACAGCAAAGAACAGATTGTCCTGATTTTAGGTTTCAATCTGGGAACAAGCCTCTTAAGAAAGCAATTAAGCAGTGTCAAAGACCTGTTTCACTCTATATTGTCTCCATTTATAAATAAAAGGTTTGGAACAAAAATTTATTTTAGAAAAAATGTTCATTATGGAGGAGATCTGGCAAAAAAGTGGATCCTCTAGTATAGTGGCTGTCCCAAGATAATTCCAGGTTCAATTGACCAAAAGATGATGGATCAGTTTTGAGCTCTGAGTCCTATCTTAGTGATATCATTGAGTCCAAATGAACAACAACAAAAGGACAAAACAATACAGGATAATCTTAATTCTTCTTTTCTTGTTCTCAACTCAGAAGTTCAGGACCAATTGAAAATTCTGTGGCCATAATTCTAACACCACTCCAATGCTGATCTCTTTGATCTAGTAGAAAAATTATCAGTGCTGGAATTATACACACTGAAATATATATCAGTAAGAGATCATTCAAACTAATACAATTTATTTTAAAGGACAAGATTAGAGACAAGTCAATTGCTTTGCAGTCACATTATTTCAGAGAAATAGTGTCCTCACCAGCTTGTTTTAGTGGGGAGGCTCTTCCTCAGTTCCAGATTCTTGTACCTGCTCTTAAAATGCTGTGACTTATAAATTGGCAGGCACTAAATTATCAATGGTTAACTCTCTCTTTCCCAGCGCAAGCACACTGAAGTAATAGTCACAATCCTTCTTGCCCTTGCAGCTTGCTGCTCCTAAATGCATATAATTCATTAACTGTAATATTACATTAGTTATAATAAGATCTTATAATAACTTCCTAACTATAACCTATCGTCCATCCTCCCTTCTCTCCATTGTAATTCTCTTTGCAAAGTAAGCTGCAAAATGAGTGACAGGTCAGATGTTCCAAACTTTGCTCGTGATGCCCTCCAGACATGATTACTCTTCTTTTGAAAGGCAAGCATTAAAAAGGCAGAAAGAATACTCAGGCTTCACGTAGGACTCTGAAACACTGTGTTGCTTTTGCATTCAGTTTACTATTGCACTTTATTAGTAAGCATACTTCAAAATGATTTGAGAAAAATGCACTCTGTGATGGCCCTCCATCCGGGAAGAGTCACACTCCACATTTTGAGTAATATGGTAGAGGCATTGCCCCAGCTTTGCAGCAGATAGTAGAGTCTCACCTTTGGCTTTCTGACTCCCAATGAATGACCATTACTGATACTCCCACCATCTTCTGGGATTCAATTGTAGGTAGCCATATTTTCTTTGGACATATAAATCTGATGATGCTGCTTCCGCATCCAGGAAGGCTCACCAACACAGTCATCCGATGCAGAGTTCAGAGCAGGAAGTAGCATTTTTTCAGTACTAGCAGGTTATGTTTTCTTGATGCTAGAACCTTCAGCCTTATGATTGAGAAACAGACAAAATTGCTTTAAGGTCTTGTTTTTCAGTACTGCTCAAACATGATATAGCTACTGTGTTCATTCCTGTGCATTATTCTTTGGCCTCCAAACATGTTTTATCAAGTCAAAGATTGTGAATACTTTTGATATATCGTAGCCCCTTTTCTCTCTTAATCTTGGCACTATGGAAAAATGTTTTCAATACTGGTCCTATGGAAAAGTGCATTCTGCACCAGTGGATAAGGAATAGTAGAAGCATGAATCATAAATAAAGGTTTTATTACTCCAGAGCTTTATTTCTGTACATTTCCAGTTACTGAGAATGGCTGGTAAAGTACTGGCACTTTTTAGGTGAGAAAGAACTGTCTCCAGTGCCTTATATCTCAAAAGATGATAGGAAAATGATCTTTCAGAAGGAAAAGAACTAAACAGCAAATCAATATTTCCAGGTATGGTAGAGTTGTCATGGAACAAGTATTATGACCATATGGGGCACCTTTAAGGAGATATAAATTTCATACCTTCTGGTCTGAACTATGAAGTCATGGTCAAGACTGAAAATTTCCTATTTGAACTGTGAAGGCTTGTTTAATGAGAATAAATCATGACAACCCGAATGAGGTCCAGAAGCACAGGGCTGCAGTAAAAATAATGGACCTTTACTTACATCAGCAGTAGTGTTTCTGATTTCAACATAGAAAATGAAATTCCACAGTTCAGCACTGCTTGCTTGGGTATCTAGAATGCATCTTGTCTCAAGATCCAAGGTTATAATTCTTCCTTAAAGATTGGACACACAGTTCTGAAGATACACATTGTGCCAGTTCCTTTAATTTTGAGGATACTGTAGCATGTCTTGCTTTTAACAGTAATTAGCTAAAGACAGATTTGTATTGCAAATATTAAAAAATATTTTTATTTTTAACTTCTCAGGTGAATCATCTTTAGGTGCTACCTGCAGTGTCCAGCCACAGGTAAGACAGATATAATTTTAGTATAGATTATATCCAATATGCCAATAGATGTTCACTCATACCTAGGAACTTTCTCTTCTTCTCCTTCCTCTGTCACTCCTTCTTAAGTCTGTTATGGAAGGACTTAGCTTCTGGAGTGTATTTGAGAAGTATGTGGAGAAGAAAACTCTGTTCTGCTGAGGACTGTCATTGTAAAAGTGGACTAGACACTATTTGAAACTATTGCATGCAACAGTGCACATATATACAATGCAACAGATACATGTTGTGTATGAGTGAAAACATTTTAAGCTGTAGAAAAGCCATTTAAAAACTATCAGACAGTGCAATATTTATCAGAAGTTTCAAGTTCAAGGCTCCTCCAGAATAGTCAAAACATCCTGCTTTGAATTTGAGACAGCTGGTGGCTGTTGAAACAGGGTGTTTTCAGTTCAAGACAGTTCAGATGCAGCATGGTTTAAATTTAAAACATTTTTGCAAAATCCTACTGAGATCTATCAAGGTATATGTTTTCATTTCCTACATTTTATAGCAAACATTGAAACAGAACTGAAATTGTTTAATGCTAAATAACAGTAAAATGATAAAAGGAAAATTCTAATTAAGAAAAATTGAACACTCTATACAGTGAATCAGGAGTTTATGTGCTGTGAGAGTATCTTAGCAGCATTTGGGACATATGATTTATTAATAGAGAGGCGCTGTGCTACTGAGGAAATAAGCTCCATTTTTATGCATTTACACTATATGTTAAAATTCTATGTAAGCCTACATAATTAGCAAAATGACTGATGTTTCTTTTTTTGTTCCTCTCTCGGTTTGTTAGCTATGCCATTATTGTTCTGTCTTGTGCTGTTTATTTGGGATGGGTGGGTGGAAGACTTGTTTTTTGTATTGATTTATGTTCTTAATTATAAACTGCCCAGAATCATTGAGAGTTGGGTGGCATATAAATTTAATAGGTTACACAGTCAACCAGATGTTTAGATATAATAGAATAGAATAACAGAGTTAGAAGGGACCTTGGAGGTCTTCTAGTCCAGCCTCCTGCTTAGGCAGGAGGCCCTGTTGATATGCTATGATGATGATGATGATACAAATATCAACTGTAGTAAGTATCTAGACAATTTGTAGAAGGGAAAAGGCTATATCAAAAAATTAAAAATAATTGTGGCTGCAAAAATTACCTTTGACTACAGGTCAACTGCCTTCTGGCAGTGGCAGTGGCAGTGCTGTAGCTGGAAGCCTCCATGCCTTATGAAGTGGCAACTGTGGTTATGTTTGGTGGCAATGAATTTGAGTTTCTGAAAAATTCCAGAGGCCACAAAAGGCTGTTTGATGGACTGTATGCAGGCCATGGGCCATGTGTTTTGCAGGTTTGAGCTAGAATTTCTGATTGAAGTAGTATATAGCTAAAATCATTGGTTGCTTTTGGTTTATATCTAAGGGGAAAAAATTCAGAAGTCATATAGATATTTAATTATTCTTTCTTAAAAATAGAATGATTTCTTTTAAATGTATTTGTCAAATATTTTTATGATACAGGTATAGTAAAGTGGAATTAGTTGTTGCCACCAAGAATTTGATTCAACAAATAATATAAGTAGTAGAGTTTTCCTATCAGTTCAAATTCAAAAATTGTATCTGATATTTAGATTTTGTATTCTGTTAAAAATTCTGATACAATCAGTACTTGCATTTCAAAACGAACTTGTCAGAGATTAAGGGTTCAATATTCCATGAAAGTATTTTCTTTTTTCCCTAACTTTGTTTAAAATCTAGCAATTTCCCATCATTTCTGGCTAACATGGTCAGTGCAGAGGAATGACTGTAGTTGTATCAAAATATTGGTACCAAAACACCCAGTTGAGATCAACCTATTAATTCTGATTCGGTTTTTTGCACATTTAAATATTGCCATTTGTCAAAGTTTGTACTAAACATTTGAAAAATATTTGGAAGCATGATACTTAAAGTAAAGAGGCATATGCAATTATGCTTTAACTTACCTAATTTTTATAAAGGTTAACATTTGCTAAATCATAACTAATAAAATTAATTACATTGTACATAATTCTTTGCAGGTATGGTCACGAAAAGGTCTATCTTCTCAGGATGGTCAGTGGCCACTAAATTGCCAAGCTTCTTGTGATTTTTCTTCTGGCCATTCTGAACAATATCCAAGTCCTGAATCTCAGTTGGTTGAGATGCCAAAAGGTAGGTAATTCTGAGTCATCCCAACTTCATAGAAACCTATTAAAAATGGTATTTGTTTTTTTAACATATGCAAGAATCCTTTGATCTAACTAGCATGACAAAAAACAAAATTCAAATGTCTCTTATAGGACTTTGCTCATGCTGGGAGATATTTTTTTGTTTGTTGTTTTGCTTTCGGGAGATTGGGAAATACAGCCACAGTTTCATTGCAACAGTGACTGCTTTGTTGGGCTTCATAGCTGCCTTTGGAAGAATGAAATGTTTCACTGTGTGATACAAACTGTCAGCTGCTTTTCCACCCTCTGATAGCAGTGTTGCAAAATGTTTATAGATGCCATATTGAGCATTTTGTGCAAATGGTAAAGTGTGGAGGCATTTTATTCATCTTTTTATATATGTTGCTATTAATATATTATCACAGCAAATCTATGAAAGCAGACAAGACTCTTCGACACTATACTTCCTCTGTAGACTTGTCATTTACACTTTGATGGGAAAGATTTGACAGTCAAAGGTAGCTTAGACTGATCCATTTCCTCTGCTACACGCATATCAAAATAAGAATCTTAATGTAAATCCAGTCTGCATGTAATTTTGTTCTGTAAAATGCTCTCAGACCAAAAAAGTCTTGTTCTTCATGATTTTGAGTAAGAAAATAAACGCAAAAACATTTCTGGCACACATGCTTAAAATACTTTGTATCTCTGCAATAACTGATTTTATAAAAAGCATTTTCTTAGATACTAATTTTTAAGCTCAGAGTAAGAGCTGCCAATAAACACAATTTTGTCAAACCTCCTGTAGAATATGCCCTATAGAAAAAAATACAATACATAAAGCAAATGAGCTAGGGTGATTAAGTTGATATTAAGCTGTAGCTTAATATTTTAGAAAAGAGTAATGATTTACCCTTGTGAAAACTTTGTGGGATATATATCATGTTAAGTAGAAGCATAAAAAACCTGAGAAATGACTATATAAGGTGTCTCATTGAAAGAACCTTTCCTGATTTGTTCTGATTTCTTTGTACTGATTATTCAAAAAAAGGTTCCAATTGAGCCAGAGACAAGTACTTTCTGATTTGATTTAGGAATAATGAAGCACCACTGAATCATTGCAAAATGTAATATAACTTTGGCCAAATAGAGCATACCACGGTAATTTTGGATTTGAAGTTAGTACCTTTCATATCTAAGTTTGTATGTCCAATCTAAGATAAGTACCATTAAAAAAAAGCTTCATTTTCTGTTTCTCAGATATTCTCCAATGAGTAAAGTGCCATTGTGAAGAACTTAAGTTGGATAACTTGGCTTTTATCAATATTAAATACTGGGCAATGCATTAATGATTGTTGTTCAGACTGGCTCTTTGCTATAAGCTTTTACATAATTTACATCAGTGAATTATTCATACTTTAATCAGGTTCTGATTTTTGATACAATATATTAAAGCACGAGTCTAGTTATAATGTTACCCCTCTGCTGCAATACATATTGCAAGCTGAAATTTACTGCAGCAGTAGAAGAGACCATTTTATGGAGTGAAATTAGTTAACACGAAGTGAGACTTTAAAGGAATTATTGCTGTTGCAAAAGGAGGTGAGTTCAAGTCACCAGGGAAGGAAACAGCTGTCGGGTGGAGGGGGGAATGTGTTCATATTTGCAGGTTGTTTGCAGCTCATCTTTCCCCACCCAGCATTCTGTGCCAAGGAATAGGGAGTGTTGCTCTAAATAACACTTTGGCCTTTATGGAAATATGTTCCAGGAGACTCAGTCTCTCCCCTCCCCTCTTTGCTGGGTATAGTTAGCACTTCTCCAAACCTTATATAGCAAGGGCTGATTGTTAGTGTTAACAGGAATAAAATGAAACAGAGTGGGCTGCCAGATTGCATAAATCAGGCCACTGTCTAGAATTTCATAAATGCTCCAACTTTGGGTAAAATCTGAGTACTCTGAACAATGCTGTTCTTTCTTCTTTTCTTTCTCTCTCTCTCTCTCTCTCTGAGGGAGAAAAGCTAAAATCCTGTTTCTCTTGATCTTTATGTGTTGGGTTTTATTTTGGTGGGGTTTCGTACCCTTTTGAAGACCAAAAAAGTTTCAACAGAAGCCACAGCCAAGCAGATGTCCAAGATGCCCAGGTACTGGATCAATTCTCAGGTCTTCTGCATGGTTCTTCTCCGGTGTGTGACATAAGTGAGGACCCTTTGAGACTCATTTCTGCTGTGGGCAAAGGAAGTACAGAGGGAACTGCTATGCAGCTGGAAAATGTTGAGGCTTCTGGATCGGTACAATCTAGTCCTGTAGACCAAAATAAAGTGGTCTATTCAGCCATACGCCATATCCGTGACAAGTTGGATTCTGGAACTTTGGCGCATCCTCATTTGCCACAGCACCCCGGTAGTGCTGAGGATGGAGACAAGAGCAGTGTTGTAGGAAGAGTTCATCCAGGAAGCAAGTCCAAAGCAGACCTCAAACTTAGCCGTAGCTTATCAAAATCGGATTCTGACCTTTTGACCACCTCACCAACAGAGGACGATACTATGGGGAGCAGAAGTGAATCCCTTTCCAATTGTAGCACTGGGAAAAAAAGGCTGGAGAAATCACCTTCCTTTGCTTCCGAGTGGGATGAGGTAAGACCAAGCTGGATTTTTTTTTTTTAAAGTAAAATAAAAATTGCTGCAGGAATTCCATGGTAAAAATGGATCAGGGATGAAAGAGTAGAAGCAGTAGTATTTATCCTAGTATCAAATTTGTTTGGTAGATAATTAAAATTACACCTATGAATTGAAGTCAGGTGTTTAATCTTTTGATGCAGAATTTAGGGAAAGTTTTAAAAGCATTCAGTGTTGTCTAAAATGGTATTATTCTATTCAGAAGCAGTTGTCACAGAATATGTTTGCATAGCATATTCTCTCTAGAATAGCTTGTGGGAAAAGGTTGGGTTATATTATATATCTAGAGCTGCTTTATGTTCGTGAAAAGGCTTCAGTAAAGTCAGCGAATACCTGGATGTTTTTGAACCCTCTCTTAAAATAGCTAATTCCTAGGATTAAGAGGAAGTCAGCATAATATATGAGAAATCATTCCTTAATAGAACTTTGTTCTGATAAGTCAGCAGAGATTAAGTGCTGTTCTTCAAACAGCACTAAAGCATTCCTTGTTTATTCTACTCTGACTTAAAACGAAGTTGCATGAGCATGCAAACTGCCTTTTATAGATCGGAAAATCTATTATTAAGCAGTTAAGACTTAGTTGGGGAAACATTATGCCATGCCAGGTCTAAAAAAATATTAAAGAAAATCCATTAGCAAACAAATTAGGGAGGTTAAATTGTGTGGATTAGAAATTGAAAGTATGAAATCATTATTTTTATTGTGTAGTGCTGGGTTACTCAATTTTTAAAAGGTCTTTTGCAGTACTTGGATACAAAATATTGCAATCTGCAACTCCTTAAAGTTGGGGCATCTTTTTGTAAAATTGCACAGCTGCTGTGCAGTCCTGGGAAAAGATGTATATATTTTAAGGTACACAGATGTTTCTTATGTGACCCTATATACTTCAGGGCTCTTTTGTGCAACAGAATCAAAACTATTGTACTAACTGCTATTTATTTAGAGTGCAGTGGTATTTCTTATAATAAAAACATTAAGCTTTGTACTAACTTGCAATTCTTATATAAAACATATTTCTTCAAATATGTGGTAGTGTATACATCTAACCAGCTCAAGTGTTGGAAAGCCTGTTTCAAATTACTGAATAACATTAATTTCATGCTACAAGTTGTATGATTTGTGAATATCAGCGGTCTTGTTCTGGAAACTATTCCTTGCATTGTAGAAACAGTATTTCTGGTTACCTTGAGATTGTTACTAAACCCAGTCTAAAATGATCATTGTGATGAAATAAGTCTGCCAGAAATGTATTTATTTTAAATACTTCAAGTTTTTTTTATCCAAATTACTAAAGTGCTTATAGAATGCCCTTTTAATATTGCTATAATGCTTAGTCTGTTTCTTCCAAAATTTTTGCATATATTAAAAAAATTGAGGAGGATCCGTAATTATATACCCTAACAAAATAATTGCCTTTTGTTCCATTGGTATTTTGGTGATAACTTGAATTGTAACTTTATTTATGTAAATTATGTAAGTTTAATATTTGTATCCAAAAGTAAGCAGCAATACTAGAAGTGTAATGAATCATTAATCATTACTATTAAAATATTTTACAGTTCTTTGGGATACTTATAGAGTAGAACTTTTCTTTAATAACAAACTGCTTTTTCCTATCTTCTTAAGCCTCACTCCATCTCAGGAATAACTGTGACTTTATGAAATTTGAAATTGAATGCAAATTTAGTTGACTTTGTTACTAATAAAATAAATTAGGAGTGAATTATTTTGAAACATTTTAACTGATTTATTGGAACCTAAAAATGGAAATAATAATGCAGAATTGTGCATTCTACTCAGAGGGAAGATGTAATGGGATTGTGGAACTAAAATACAGATTTGGACAGGGGTGGGATATGATAGGATTAACTACCAGTTCGGGATTTACGAGCTTCCCTGCCTGCTGTGAGCCGTGTGCCTGTTAATCGTCATTAGCACGCTGCGTGCGGAGAAGCAGCCTTTGAAATAGCCCTCTTTTCTTGTTTTTTTAACTGCAGCTGTGCCTTGTTTGGCAGCTGAAGTTGAAAAATCAGGAAATAAAGATCAGGTAAGAACCCAGGTGGGCGGGTGGGGAAAAACATCAGCAGACATAGAACCGATTCTATGTCTGCTGCTCTTCAGAGCTACCGGTTCTACAGAGGTGGACAGAACCAGTAGAAACCCACCCCTGGATTTGGAGAATGGTGTATTATTAATCTGGTTATAATGCAGTATTTGCATGGGTATCTGTAATAACTATAGAGTTCAGAAAAAAATATTTTATTTTTCTCTACAAGGCAAGGCAGTCAAGGGAGAGAAGTGTTTAAAAATAAAGATACAAAGAAAGTAACATAAAACAAAATAGAAATGTTCTATTTCTAAATGTTTTATGCATGAATTTTTGTGAAACATCCACTTTCAAGGGTGAAACGGGATGGTTCAAGAATTCTGGGGACGTCTCAAGTTTGAAATAAAGATATTTAAACTCTGAAACACTTTCAAAATGCGGGATGGCCTGTTTTGTACTCAAAACTGGGGGATACAATGAAATTTTCACACTCCTAGAAGTTTTTTATATTGGTATTTATATATTTATACCAGTACGCCATCTATTATTTAGATTATATACAATTAACAGTTGCAAAATAGAGCAATTAAAACAATATTGTTTAAGCTCATAAGGTCCAGTAGTAAATCGTAATTTTTATTGTCTTTCTATTAGCAAGATTTGGGGGCATTCTGACTTTAATAGGGTGGGCCAGAGGGGGGTGTTCACTTGGCAAAAGTGGAAAGTTGAACCAATCATTTCTAGGCTACAGGAGCCTAGAGTAATATGGGCTCTAGAGTGAGGAGTCTACAGCCAAGGCCATCTAGTAACTCTCCACTCAAATCCTGGAAAAATGCATAGAATGCATAGAAAATGCATAGAAAAATGCAACACATCCTCCTGACTAGCACTTATGGAGTGAGCAGATTCTAAGTGGTAGAAAATAAGAATCCATGTATTAGTTTATCTTAAAGCAAAGTGATCGATCAATGTCTTCAAGCCTAGTGGTGTACAGCAGTTCAGATATTGGGCTAGGACTAGGGAGACCAGGTGAAGGATCCTCTGCCAAGGGCAATCACTGGATGATTTTGTGCCAAGCACTCACTCTCAGGCCAGCCTAATTTCCAAGGTTGTTTCTTGGAGGAAAAAAAGGGAGGATGGAGTACTATGTACACAACCTTGAGCTCATAAATGAATGAATAAATATTTTGGTCATTCAACTTTGCAATCATATGGAATTAAACAATGTTCATGTAGCTATAAAATTAGTTATTTTTGTAATTTTCTCTTTAATTTGCTGTCACAAATGCTAGTTTTATTATAGATTATTTAAAGTCTGAGATTCTGTAAAATTTCTCAGTTTGTTTCTATAACCTGATCTAGTAATTAGTGTCATGTAACTAGTCCATTGCTTTTTCATTACATATGGGTGGTAATGTCTAAGTACATGTTTGATTATTATAATGTCATATGTTTTTCTTTTACCTGACAGAAAATACCTTAGAATTTTCTGTCAGGTAAAAGAAAAACGTATGACATTATAATAATCAAACATGTACTTAGACATAACCACCCATATGTAATGAAAATAACTAAATAATAAGATTTTAAATACATAAAACATGATTGCTATTTATTACTATAGGAGCAAATACGCATTTTATTTCATCTTTGTCTAATGTGATTTCTTCAACATTTTTTTTTACTATTCTGTGACTCTATTTCTTGTTATTAAGATGCTAGGCTGGATCAGTCATGCTTAGATCAATCTCTTTTTCTGTTGATAGTCACATTCTCTTTCAAGTAATCAACAGTACTATGTAGCCACACGGGATGTTTCTTAAGCAAACTCTATTTAGGGCAAAACAAAAATATATTGTAAATATTATGTGTTGAATAATATTTGAGAATATAATTGTTAAGAATATAGTTGAACCCCCCCCCCCCCAATATTATAAGCCTAGATGTAAAGTACAAACCAATTCCAAATCAAGTGGGAGGGTGAAGCTCATTGTAGCTGTTCATTTTTCTTCTCTAGCAGAAGAAGCTACATTGGAATCACAGATACTTTGTGTTGATGCTTTAAGTAAGATAGATGGAGTTGAACTGATTGTCAATAAGTTCCATTTTCAGCTAGTATTGTACAATTTCTCACGTTTTATTGAAGTTAGTATGTTGAATGGCATTTTCAATTATTTACAAATATAGAAATATGAAAGCACAAAGCAACACATTTGCTAAGAAAAGCTGCTTATTAGCTTATTTCACTGGAGAATAAATTAGAAGGAATGAACTTGTATGAGTTAGGCTGTGGGTAGCATAAATATTTGAGTGCTTTTAAACATAGCTGAAGGCTAAAGTGGTAAATTTGTTTCTGTAATGTGTTTATAAATATTCAGTACTCCCCAAATCAATGTGCAGCACTCAAAGCACATTACATTTTACATAAAGCAGTTCTTGTTCTTTTATTTTTATTTTTTGAAATTTTTATTTGGGTTTTCACAAAAACAAAATACAAATAAAACATCTTTTTTGAAAATAGCATGGTCCCAGGTTATCACTTCTTCATACAGACACAAAACTCAATTTCATGCTCATTTTTATATTCTATTCCATATCTTATTACCATTTTATATTTTCTACATAGTTTTTCCCCTCTTCTAATTTTCTCAACTTTGTTTTAGTTATCTCAATTCAAATAATTATATTTATACTTTTGTCTGTCCTGTTACAATTTCACATTATCTTTTCTTATTAAGCAAATTTTTCCCTGTAGTTACCAATTAGAGTATGACACCTTTATATCCTTTAATTTTATCCATTCAAGCTCTTATGTAAGCTTCAATGTATAGCTTTAAGATTATAGCATTCAATATAATACATAACTTCCAATCGAATTCTGCTTGGTACATTCTTAAAATAGACACTATAT